CCTTGAACAAAAAAGTCTACAAAGGAAGATTGGAAAGAGAAACAGCAGAATATCAACAAACTGTAGTCTATCAGTAGAGGATTGAGCAGAGACAATGGTTTCCAGGCATAGTCTCAAAAAGGTGCTGCAAGATCGTTTCAGATAATATGTGGCTCATTAAGCAGTGTTTCTCGGGCTATCTCATGTAATAGACTGTCAATCCCTTAAACCCCTCCTCCATTTTCCAGAAACCACTACCATATTTATGCCTTATTGTTATAGTATTTGCATAGTTTCCTGGAACTATGTGTGTGGACCAGCTGATGATGGGATTCCACGTTTACCTCTGGTATTTCAACTTGGATTATTGTTGCAGCACTTTGGAAAGTCTCTGCTTGGTACTCTGGGGATCCATCCCATTACTATTTTTTTCTTACATGGTTTCACCAGGATCATATTCTGCAGAGATTGCTGTACCCTGTTTCTAAGCACTATATGCTGGTGCAGCAAGTCACATCAGCATCTTTGATTTATGATAGTCTTTCCTAAACAATGATGTATAAATTTTGGTTGTCTGGGACATCATGCTTCATATAAATTTTCTAACATCTGTAGTTAGGGTTTTATTTATCTTTTGCTCTGCTGAGTAACTTGATTCTTCTGTAATAATAACACTGGAGAACCAGGGTCAACATGCTGAGCAGGCATAATATTTTATAAAAATGACTGCACTGACTGTAAAGATCTTAAAGCACCTCTCTGAACAACATATGCTAATACGACTTCAGCAAAGTAAGTTATCATTTCATTAGAGGTCATCTGAGTTCACATAGTTAATCTTGTTTATATGGAGCTTTCTTTCTGGATGGAATCTTAATGGTTGGACTGAAAAACACATTTAACAAATACTATATGACACAAGCTGTCATAAAGATTTTTGTGCTATTGTGAATGGGTGCTTCAGTTTGATAAGCTCTTAAGCATATGAAACATGCAGTAAACCAAAGATGATCATTCCATTGATTTTCTTAGACCTCCACAGTAGGAGATGGTCACAGTCATCTGATGAAGAAATCTGCCACAATGGTTCTCAATGTACCATTCAAGTGCACCTTGAGGTAGATTTGTTGCCTCCAATGCTACTTCAACAAACACAATGAACACTGGGCAGGGTAGTGGATACAATTTCCCCAAGTGTCTCTTTTCATGGGTAGAGCCAACTGAGCTCCTTGGTTTACTAGGGACCCAGTGTTAATGAAACAAGTGGGATGGAGACTGGAGATGGAGATGGAGACTAAAGCAACAATGACAGAAGACTTGGAGTGTGTTGGAGTGAAAAGAGTGAGCATATTTCTATGCAGAAATATGATTTTCTCTACCAAAAATGCTGTTACCTGTGCAAAAAATATAGTTTTATGCCTTTCCAAAAAACAGGTGCAAATTTAGTACAAAGTAGGTCCTTGAGCAGATAAAGCCAGAAATCTCCCTGGAAGCCAAGATGATCAAATTGAGGCTGCTGTACTTTGGCCACATCATGAGAAGGCATGACTTATTAGAAAAGACCATAATGCTAGGATAGATGGAAGGCAGTAGAAAGAGAGAAAGGCCACACACCATATGGATAGACTCAATCAGGGAGGTCATGGGCATGAAAGTAGAGCAGTAGAACAGGGGGTCTTGGAGATGTCTCATTCACAGAGTTGCCATGGGTTGGGGATGACTCGAGATCAGTTAACAACGGTTTTGGACTGTAAAGATTCTCATCTGTTTTCGACATGTGAGAAACACAATGTTTAACCATTTTTCTGGAATATTTTCAAATAGCCTTTTCATTCCTATTCATACATATGCACATTATTTCTTTGTCCTAGCAAAAGACTTTGATTCAGGATGTGCCCTAGACATTTTGCCATCTGAAGAAAGATGACTTCTCTTTGTGCCCACCTCCATGTGATATTCCAGCTAGAGAAATTGAATGGGCCTAGGAGCTGAGTCTTAGTTCTTCATTGTCAATGGGACAGGGTGACTTCCACCATTCTATGTGAGAGAAATCCTTAGGTTTACAGGTTTGCCCTTCAACAGTTTATTGTTGCTTCCTAAACATTGCCATCTGTGTCATCAGGTGTTTGCTTCATTCTTCATAATGACAGAGTTGACTGGTTTGATAAAATGAGACTAGGCAGGAAGAGTTCACATCCATGTTAAGCATGTCACTTATATCTGAAACAGAGGGGAATGACAGCATGACCTTATACTTACTAATTTAGGAGCAAGTCTAGAGTTTGGTGACATTTACCATCAGTAAGGGCTCCTCCAGACAGAGAAAATGTGTTGGGAGGTTGTGCTATTTGCTGTGTGATTCTCATTTTAAAAAATTCCAAGAATGCGTTCTGGACCCTTTTCTTGCAATTCCTGCTGCAATCTTTTCATCCTACCATATGCCATATCCCACATGCCATTTTCTCTTCTCCTTTCCTTATATCTTTTATTTAAAAAAATGTTTTAGAGTTTTTTGGTGTTATGGTGATATAACTATAGTAGGGCTGCCAGATGTCCCTTATTATAAGGAATGTTCCTTATTTGAGGGTTGGAAAGCTTTTCCTTTTACATAGATTGAATGAGACAACCTCCCCACCCTTGTATATTTGTGTATGGGCCCTTCATAAAGACATAAATGTTGCATCATATCCTTCATGAATATGGGACAGTATTTTAATTTTACAGGGAAATACATTGCTAAGTTATGTGAAATCAATAGTTTCATTTGGTATGTAGGTGGAACACAAACTTATTAATATCTATTTCCTGATTCTAAACTCCAGCATGTCATCCATTTTGACTGTCCCTTATTGCTATTTTGAAAACCTGGCAAAACTGCATCGGTGAAATAGCCCATTGGCACTATAATTCTATAATTCTTTTTTTTAAAAATCAGAGAGGAGAAAAAGATAAGACCACTTAAGCCAGCTATGGTCCCAATTTTAAAAATAAATATATCTCAAAGAGCCCTAGTGAAGGTCCAAGAAATAGCTACAAACAGTCTACAAAAAGAATGTATGGTAACACAATACCATTATATTCCAAGGTTTCATTCTTTTTAGACTAATTTGGTTTACATGTGTTTATAACCATAATCCAAACAAAGCTTGAATGCCAGTAGTGCATTTCTTAACAGTCACCCCTCCATTTTCTGCAAAAATGGAAAATCGCAGATATTCAAGCCCATTGGTTTGAATGGCTGTGTGCTTCTGCATGCACACCATTTTAACTAATAGGGCTTGCTGGTCCATGAAGGATCAAGACTGTGGACTCGAAGTCTGCAAAATGGAGGAGCAACCGTAATTCCTTTTGCTGCCAGATAGGTATACCAAACTCTGTTGGAATGCTCTGTGGTACCACTCACAATATTTTGAGTTACTTTATTATAATTTACAGGAAAGTGCATTATATTAATATGTTGTTTTTAAAGCTAGGTTGATTTAGAATAGTTTCATTACAAAGGATGATAAAACATCTAACTTGTGGGCACAAAGAGAACACATTTTTGTTCATGGGTGCTTCTCAACATCAAAAGGCACACTTTTACAACTGTCTTCCTCAGGAAAAGAGTGGAAGTCCAACGACATCATGTGGAGAGGCACAGAGAAAGTAGCTACTCTCCCACTGTTTTGGCTTTCTTTTCTCATGTCTTGTTTGGATTATGTGCCTGAGGGCAGGGAACTGTCAAATTAAAATTTTGCAAGCTGCTCTGAGAGCCTTTGTGGCTGCAGAGTGGGGTACAAATACTCTAAATAAATAAATAAATAAATAAATATTTAATAATAATAATAATAATAATAATAATAATAATAATAATAATAATAATAATAATAATAATAATAATAATAATAATAATTTTATACCCCGCCCCTCTGAGCACAATCAGGGTGACTAACAACAGTTAAAATACATATATACAGTCATTATTATTATTATTATTATTATTCTCAGAACTGAAATTACAATCAGCCCTCCATTTTCATTGGGGATCCATTCCAGACCCCCCCCCCCATGAAAACGGGGATTCAGCAATATTTAAGCCCCATAGAGTTGAATGGAGCATGCCCCATGGGCATGCATGGGGGTGTGCCCACAGGGGCGCACCCCATTGATTTTAATAGAGGTCACCCTTTCATGAATATGCAAAACCACAGACTTCAAGTCCATGAGAACAGAGGAGTGACAGTATATTTATCTAATCACCATTAAAATAGAATACAGCTTCATAGATATTAAGGCACAGAGGCTTCTTGTCAGTGTTTGGAGCCTCTACACACATCTCATACCTTATTTCACTGAAACCCATCAAAGAAACAGATGGGCATTGTTATGGGCTTGGAAGGCCATATCCTATAGCACCTCAGCCGGTGTAATTGGACTATAAAATTGCTTTTCTTTGGCTACAATTCTAAACACATTTTCTGAGTGTAAGAATCCTAATTCTCCAAGTATTCTCCTACTTGGCATGTTGGGAAGCATCTGTGGACAAAACTGCAGTTGGCCTGTGCCTGCAGTAAGAT